CACCACTTTGGAGGGCTATGAAAATCCAGCTCATCAGTTGTGCAAAAGGCCACCTCCAAGGCCACGGCCGCCGCCAACACCTGGCCCAACCCACATCCGGCCTGGCGAATTTCTGCAGATTCCGACGCTCTTCGGGCGCGGCCTAACTGACCCCAGGGCTCGACCTAAACGGTGTTTTCCGTTTTCGGGTTGCTTTCGTTGTCCTTCGCTTTGTCTTAGGTTCGCGTTCGGTGCAACACGACATCGAAACGAAAACGGCCCACGAAATCGCCAAAACACCGTTTCGGTCCACCCCTGACCGACCCCCTAGCGTGACGACACCCTCGCCTTTCAAGCTTCCCTCCGACCGAATACATACGTCATGGGGCGAGGCGAGGGGGACGTCACGGAAGGGCATGGTTTGCCAGGGATCCGTTAGGCCGCCCCTGAGCTCTGGCTAAGCCCCGTTCACGCTGGACCCCTTTACGGCAGGTTCGTGTCGTGACAAACCTGGCGTTGGTCTCTGACACCGCGTAGATCGTTCAACCTTGAACGATGGGTGGTTCCCCGATCGCCAAAATCGTTCCATATGTATTGGCTGATTCTGGGCCACTGGCGGCGTTCAAACTTGAACGCCCGCAGCGGAGTCGCAACCGAATCGGCACGACACGAATCTACCGTACCTGCCGGCTGATTGATCCGCGCATGACGCCACTTTGGTGGTGCCCCCTCCCCCTCCCAGGTGGCGCAGCAAATGTGACGACACCTGCGCATCTTGCAGCCCACGAGGAGGGCAAGGTCCCGTTGGCGTCCGCGCGCGGTGCAGCAGCAGTCCTTGTTTCAGCGTCTTGACTGTACAATCGAACCTGCAACCTTCCGCGAAACTTAACGCAAGTTTTGCCGACCCCCCTCCCCTCGCCCCCAATTTCAGCTGCGCGCACGGCGCGGCGCGCGGACGCCGTCGGAAAATTTGAGGTCACGGGTTTCGGGTCTGGGGTCTGGGGTCACGTGTTTCGGGTTAGGCGTCAACACTGAACTTTTGGGGTCTGGGGGCGCCAGCGCGGCGCGAGAAAGCTTGCGTCAAGCTTCGCGGAGGGATGGTCGCGCAGTCCCGCTGATCGTTTTTACCTAACAGCTTTTGCTGATAGGTTTCTAGTGGGATCAAAAGAGAGCATCTTGACGCCCCAAGGGGGTCTGGGCGGGATCTGGACAGATCTGGCAGCCCCAGGAATCTTTAGGAATCCTTACGAATTCTTAGGAATATTTAGGACTCCATTCCCATAACACAATTCCCAGGCCACATGCTGAATGCCCGAAGCCAACTGTAAGCCACTTCGTGTTCTTCGTCTTCCCAGAACACCATTCCCAGGCCACATTTTGATTGCCCGGAGCCAGTTGTAAGCCACTTCGTGTTCTTCGTGTTCCCAGAACACCATTCCCAGGCCGCATTTTGAATGCCCAGAGCCAACTGTAGGCCACTTCGTGTTCTTCGTCTTCCCAGAACACCATTCTCAGGCTTTTTTTTCTCGTGCTCCCGGAACACCATTCCTGTACCATATTTTGATTGCCCGGGGCCAACTGTGGGCCACTTCGTGATCTTCGTGTTCCCAGAACACCAGTCCTGTGCCACATTTTGAATGCCCGAGCTGAGACAGGCTGAGGCAGAGGCAGGCTGAGGCCGAGGCAGGCTGAGGCTGAGGCCGAGGCAGGCCGAGGCAGGCCGAGGCTGAGGCTGAGGCAGGCTGAGGCTGAGGCAGGCTGAGGCTCAGGCTGACGCAGGCTGGCAGGCTGAGGCCGAGGCAGGCTGAAGTTGAGGCTGAGGCAGGCTGAGGCTGAGGCAGGCTGAGACTGGGGCTGAGGCAGGCTGAGGCTGAGGCTGAGGCTGATGCAGGCTGAGGCTGAGAGGCTGACGCTGAGGCTGAGAGGCTGACGCTGAGGCTGAGGCTGAGGCCGAGGCAGGCTGAGGCTAAGGCTGAGGCAAGCCGAGGCAGGCTGAGGCTGAGGCTGAGGCTGAGGCAGGCTGAGGCTGAGGCTGAGGCTGCAGGCTGAGGCTGAGGGCTGAGGCTGAGGCTGAGGCAGGCTGAGGCTGAGGCTGAGGCTGAGGCTGAGGCTGAGGCTGAGGAGGCAGGCTGAGGCTGAGGCTGAGGCTGAGGCTGAGGCTGAGGCAGGCTGAGGCTGAGGCCGAGGCTGAGGCTGAGGCTGAGGCCAGGCTGAGGCTGAGGCTGAGGCAGGCTGAGGCTGAGGCTGAGGCAGGCTGAGGCTGAGGCAGGCTGAGGCTGAGGCTGAGGCTGATGCAGGCTGAGGCTGAGGCCTGAGGCAGGCTGAGGCTGAGGCTGAGGCTGAGCAGGCTGAGGCTGAGGCTGAGGCAGGCTGAGGCTGAGGCTGAGGCTGAGGCTGAGGCTGAGGCTGACGCTGAGGCTGAGGCAGGCTGAGGCTGAGGCTGAGGCAAGGAGGCAGGCTGAGGCTGAGGCTGAAGCTGAGGCAGGCTGAGGCTGAGGCTGAGGCAGTGGCTGAGGCTGAGGCAAGCTGCGGCTGAGGCAGGCTGAGGCTGAGGCTGATGCAGCTGAGGCTGAGGCAGGCTGAGGCTGAGGCTAAGGCTGAGGCAAGCCGAGGCAGGCTGAGGCTGAGGCTGAAGATGAGGCAGATTGAGGCTGAGGCTGAGGCTGAGGCTGCGGCTGAGGCTGAGGCAAGCTGCGGCTGAGGCAGGCTGAGGCTGAGGCTGATGCAGGCTGAGGCTGAGGCAGGCTGAGGCTGAGGCTGAGGCAGGCTGAGGCTGAGGCTGAGGCCGAGGCAGGCTGAGGCTGAGGCCGAGGCAAGCCGAGGTAGGCTGAGGCTGAGGCAGGCTGATGCTGAGGCAGGCTGAGGCTGAGACAGGCTGAGGCTGAGGCTGAGGCAGGCTGAGGCCGAGGCAGGCTGAGGCTGAGGCCGAGGCAGGCGAATCCTTCGGAATCCTTCGGATTCCCTAGGAATCCTTAGGAATCCCTAGGGATCAGGATTCCTAAGGATTACTAAGGTTTCCTAAGGATGCCTATGGATTCCTAAGGATGCCTAGGGATGCCTTCCGAATCCCTAGGAATCCTTAGGATTCCATTGGATCCTAAGGCCGTTGCCACTGCGACTGTCATTGCGAATGCGACTGCGACTGCGAGAACAACTGAATTCTACAACTGGATTCTCACCTGAATCTTAAGGGGAATGCTTCCAAATATGCTTATACACATCGCTGCTAGGTTGCTTTGCCGGGATTTGTTTCTCCTGGCGCGCTTGTGACCATCAGCGATCCTTCGCGGGAGCGCCTCTCAGTCCGCCGCCCCGCGGCTGCGCCGTGCCCGCGCGCCTCTCGCTCGGCCCCCTCTGGCGCCCCTGCCGCGCCGGGCGCGCCGCGGCGCCACTGGCGAGCCCGCGCGCGGCGCGCCCGGTGCACCCTGCCGCGGCCGACGCACACGGCACGCCCCCGGCGGAGCACGCTTTCCACGCATGCAGGCGCTCCGCGCGATGGCCGCCGCCCGCCCGCTGGGGTGCCGAGGCCGACCTGCCGGGGCCCGGGGGCGTCGTGGGCGGGGCCCGCCCAGGGCGCTGGCGCCCTCCCCTGCTCGCCTTGCCGCGGCGCCCTTATGGCGGCGCTGCTCCAGAAGCGCGCCGGGCCTGCTGGGCCCATGTTAATTTTTTGTGTTTTCACTTTGCTGTTGAGTTGCCAAATAGTTGCGAATGCGTTGCCGCATCTGTTTTCTCTAGTTGCCAACTGTTCCCAGTCAGAATGCAGAATTAGTCCCTGTAAAATTCTGACGAAGGAAGCATTGGCAACTAGAGGAAACGTGTTTTGCACCTCATTAGCAGCTATATGGCAACTGAATATCACTTGGGGGGGAAAAAAAGTACAGGCCGGCGTGCAAGGTGCCTCCAGGTCAAGCTGTCGCACGCCAGGCGCCGGGTGGGCCGCGGAAGGCGCGCGAGCGGGCCGCGGAGGGCAAGTCGCGATTTGCCCATGAGGGGCTGGCCGGCGTGCTTTCTGCCCGCCAGCCCGCCAGTGCCCGCCCAATGCTCGTCGCCATCGCTGCCGTCGACGTCGGCGTCGTCGTGGACGCTGTCGCCGCCGTCAACCTCCCGCGACCCTTAACGCAAATTTTGCCGACCCCCCCTCGCCCCCAATTTCAGTTGCGCACGCGGCGCGGTGCGCGGACGCCGTCGGAAAATTTGAGGTCACGTGTTTCGGCGTCAACATTGAAATTTGAGGGTCTGGGGGCGCTAGCGCGGCGCGAGAGCAATAAGTTTCGCGGAGGGATGTAGGCCAGAAGAACATCCTTCAAGAACATGAGACCCCCCCCCGGTCAAAACACACAGAACATCCAAGAGTACCCTCCCCAAGAAGCACACGAACATCCAACAAACACGAAGAACATTAGGATACCCTCCCCGAACCGACCTCGATCGTATACCTCAGTCCGCCTGTATAGTCCGCCGTAGGGACACTACTCTGCCGGACGCCCGAGCGACGCAACAAAGGTGCGGCAAATGACGCGCACGACGGCACCTGGGGAGGGCGACGCCAGGCTGGGATCCTCGTGGTGCGCCACTCCGATGGAACACTTCCCCCCGAGTGCGCAGCAAAAGCGGCGACATGTGGGTGGGCGCCCCCTCCTCCCCTCCTCTCCTCCTACTCCTCCTTCTCCTCCTCCTGCTGCTCCTCCTTCTTCCTCCTCCACCTCCTCCTCCGCCTCCTCCTCCGCCTCCTCCTCCTCCTCCTCCCTCTACTCCTCATCATACCCCGTCCTTCATCCTTCCCTCATCCTCCTTAACCCCCTGGAACACCTTAGCACTCCCTCTATCACGGCCTCCCCTCCCCATCCTCCAAAAACTTCTCCCCAGTTCCACGTTCTCCCTCTCTCCGTCCTTCACTGGGACCCCTGAAGCTCCTTGTATAACTCAGTGAACAACTTGAAAATAAGTGTCTGCCCGTGGTCACTTCTCCTCCTCCTCCTCCTCCTCCTCCGCCCTTTCCTCTTCCCTCCTCCTCCCCTCGCCTTCAGCTTGGCGTGGACGATGAACACTAGCTTGATGGATCCCTCGTCCCGCAGCTGGTACTCCACATGCCGGTGAATGCAGTCCTCGAACTGCTGCTCCTGCACCGCCTGGCACGGGGCAGCAGGAGGGAATGGGGGATAAGAGGACGAGGGAGGGATGGCAGCGGAGAGGGAGGGATGGTAGAGCGGACGGAGGACGAGGCAAGGAAGATAGCAATGAGCACAAAACAAAATGCACCCGGGGGGGTGGAAGGCAAAAAAGACGACGATGCTGTGAAGAACGACGGCGACGACGACGAGGATGAGGGACATGAGGAAGAGGAAGGGCGATGAGTAGGAGGAAAGAACGGAAGGCGAGGATAAGGAGGGACGGAGAAATACCCTGGAGATTTTACAATCTATGTGGTGCAATGTATGTTGGGCAACCTATGTGGAGCGTTCTATATGGTGCTACCCATGTGGTGGAATCTACGTGGTGCAATTAATTTCTGTTCGCAATGAGTTGTCCACTCCACTGCTCGCGCAAACATCCCACCCACCCACCCGCAACTTGGTTTGCAAAATCTCTTCAGACCGTGACGGTGGGTACCAAATGGCACTTGGCAACGACAGCGACGCCGACGACGACAGCGACAACGACGACGACGACGCCGACAACGAGTACGACGACACCGACGACGTCTCCAACGACTTCGACGACGCCGACAACGACGACGACGACGACACCGACGACACCGACGACGACGACGACGCCGACGCCGACGACGACGACGACAACGACGACGACGATGACGACGCCGACGACGACGACAACGACGAGGGAGGAGAGAAAACGACGACGACAACGACGACGACGACGACGACGACGGCGACGAAATAGAAGGGACGACGACGAGACGCCAACGACGGACGACGATGACGACGAGGGAGGAGGAGGAATGACGACCACGGCGACAACGACGACGGAAACGACCACGACGCCAAAGAGGACGACGACGACGAACACGAGGAAAGACAGAGGACGACCTAGGCGACGACGACGACGACGACGACGCGGGAGGAGGGAGGACGGCGACGACGACGACGACGACGCCGCAAGAGCGCGCGCGCACGCTTTTGTTGAAAATCCGTGTTGCGAAACCCTGTGTTCTTGTAGGTTTTTTGGACGCACGATTTTGAAATCCTTCCGAAACCGATGGGTTTTGAAGGATTTCGGCATATGCGCGCGACGACGCGCGCGTCTGCACTTCGTCTCATTTTTTGTAAGAGGATTCTCGCGACGGCACACGCGCAAGGGCGTTCGACAGATTTCGACATGCGCGAGCGCGACGCCCGTTTGGTAGCATGTTGTGAAAATCAAAAAAAAACCTAAGGTTTGTCCTAAGATTTCGCAAGGGCTCGCGCGTAAGCTGTTTTAGCGAATCCGTGTTGCGAAATCCTGTGTTTTTGCATGTTTTTTTGGAAACTCGATTGCGAAATCCTTCCGGCACCGAAGGTTTTTGAAGGATTTCGGCGTGCGCGCGCGACGACGCGCGCGTGTGCAAGGGATTCGTGAAAAAGTGCTATGTTAGAACAAAACAATAGTGTTTTTACAAAGGAGCCGCAGGGGGGGGGGGGAACCCGGTTTGGCTGGGATGGTACGATTTCATATTTAGGATGGACGAGTGTGCAGAATATATATATATATATATATATATATGAAATCCTAACTATCCCAGGGGGGACCGATAAGTCCGGGGGGTGGGGAAGGGGTAGAATCTATTAATCTTTTAAAACAAGGATTTTTTTTTAAAAAAAAGAACAACCCTCTGGGCGTATGTGGTTTGAACTTTGTCTTCTCTCTGCCAAAAACCCTCCTTCCCCTGTCCGGGGAAAGGGTTTACCGCTCCCCCCCCCTCCCCTGGGCCTGGGAAGGTGAGGGGCGGAGGGGTTCGAGCGTCCGAGATGGCCCAAGATGACTTCACGAGGGTCTCAGAGAGCCCACGATGGCCTCCAAGATTGCTCAAGATACCCCGAGATGGCTCAAACCAGTCCCCGACAAACATCCACGGGGCCCCATGATGGCCCCAAGAGGGTTTCAAGTGCCCTCGGAGCCTCCGCCGACCCCCCGACGAGGTCAAAGTGGCTCCACTTCGAAAAGGAAACACATGTTTGTTGCCTTCTCGTTTTTCGCTTCCGATGCTTGAAGCCTTACGATGACCCAAAAGAGCCCCAACAGGGGGTCCAGGGGCCCCCCCAAAGGGCCCCAAGAATGCCCAAGAACGCCCCGAAAACGCCTGAAAACCGCCCAGGCGCAGTTGTTGAGCCCCGCGTTGGGACCTCAATGTTCGACCCCTCCCTCATTTCGAATCATGGGGGCCAAGGTAACCCCCAAGAGGCCTCTCAGACCCCCCCAGCGAACCCGAACAGGGCCTTTTGACTTCCCTAAAGGGCCCGAAGAGGGCCCAAATGATGTCCCCCAAAGCACCGCGCAGATCCCAAGAGAGACACAAGATGGCCCCAAGAGGCCTCTGAGAAAACACTTCCAAGGCTGCTTCTGCATTTCCTTGGTCAAGGCAACTCGCCTGGCGATCTGTTTGGGGATGGGCTGGTGGGGGCCCGAGAAGCGTCACGAATTCTGTGGGACAAAACTTGGAGTTGCCAATTCCACTGCTCGAACATCATCCCACCCGCCAACCCGCGACTTGGCTTGCTAAACCCATGCGGCGGCGATTGCGATGACTGCTTGGTGTTGGCTCGTGCATCTCTGCGGCCACGCTGGCCCGCGCATGCTCGTGCGCACAACGTCCATCTGATTTGGCGCGACCGACGCGGCCGCGGTGGCGCTGGCCGATGGGGACTTCCAAGCGGGCACTTCAATGTGATTCAATGGCTTGGGCGGGCGCGGTGCGATGGCGACGTCGACAACGGTAGGCACGATGATGATCGCAACGCTGATGGTGACGATGATGGCGATGGCGGCGGCAAGGCCAATGACGGCGCCGATGCTGATCACGCCAATGACGATGACGTTGTTCTCGCGTCGGTGATGAGGGCTTCGGAATATAATCGGCATGCGCGCGCGGCTGACGCGCGCGAGTGGCCCGCATTGAATTATTTGACAGGGATCGTGCCTCACCCAGCACGCGCGCAAGGGCGTTCGAATGATTTCGGCATGCGGTGCGAGAGGCCCTATTGGTAACATGGTATGCACATGTTGCGAACCGATGGTTTCCTTCAGCACGTGCAAGAGCGCGAGCGCAGCTGTTATGAACATCCTTGCTGCGAAACCGGATCTTTTATATGCTGCCTGGACACTCGATCTTGAAGCCATTTCGAAGCCGAAGGTTTTTGAATGATTTTGGCATGCGCGCGCGACGATGCGCGCGTGTGCACTTCGCCCCACTCTTTGTGCAAGGGACTCTTGAAAACGCATGGTTTTTCATAAACGAGTTCACGCGCATAGTATAGCCTGAGGGGGGGGGGCATTACTGGTTTGGCTGGGATGATACGAAGTGAAACAGAGCCGCCAGACTGGCAGTCAGGCCAAGACGACGGGCCGCGAGGAGGCGGGGACGGAGCGGCGACGGCGACCACGGAGCCGGCAGACCGACAATCAGGCGCGATGGGCGGCGACGGGGCGGCGACGGCAAGCACAGCGCCGCCAGACCGACATGCAGGGTGAGTCCCCTAGAAGACAAGTAAGACCCCGACATGCAAGCACCATTTGGAGAACTATGCGCGCGCACCCGTCTATCGCAGAAGGTATTGGCTCCATGGAGCCGTTGCAAGAGCGCAAAGTGCACACGCGCGCGCGTCCATGCCGAAGCCATGCACACACGCACACCAAATGTGCAAGAATTTCAACATGCAAGCATCACCCCACTGCAAATCATGCAAGTTGCCTGCCCGGCGCATTCGTTGAAATCGTTGGGAAGCATATGGCAGCAACCATATGGATCCTAACCCGCATACTCGCTTCACCACGATATGCACCCGCGTTGATCCAGCATAGGCCCAATGCGCGAATCCGCATCACAGGATACCATGCGGGCCACACGGGCGCGCCGCCACGCGGGCGTGTCGAACTCTTTCCACAGCACATGGCCTTTCGGAGCATTCCAGCATATATCTCGTCAACAACCTATGGGAGACATTTCTTTCAACTGCAAAATTGCAATGGTTATTGGACTTCCTCGCGCGCGCAGCGCCGCCGCATCGTGCCATCGTCATCGGCAATCGCCAATCGCCGCCACCATCAGTCAAACGCCTTCATCACCGACACATGAACAACATCATCGTCAGCGGCATTCCCAGCTCTAGCTGCCGTGGTCATCGTCAACATCGTCACCGCCATCGCTACTATCCTCGTTGCCTCCAATGCCCACGTCATCATGATACGCGTCCGCCCGAGCCGCCGACCCGCATTAAATTGCCCGCGTGCCAGCGCTGGGAAGTTGCCACCTGTAAGCGCCATCGCGGCCGCATATGTTGCGCCCAACCACCTGGCCGCTGTGCGCGCGAGCTTGCGCGCGCCAGCGCGGCCGCAAAGATGCGCCAGTCATGGCCAAGCAGTCATAACAATCGCCGACGCATGGGTTGTGCAAACCAGATTGCGCATGGGAGGGTGGGATGATTGCGCGAGCAATGGAATTGACAACTCATGAGTTGGCAAAAAAAGATTGCACCGCGTAGACTGCACCACATAGATGGCGTCACGAACAGGCAGCAAGATTGCACCACGTATTCTGCAACACACAGATTACCCAGACCCCCGACATCATGATTTGTTCATGACGTCGACCTCCAAAGGTCTCGACCCATTCCCCTGGAGGACCGGTTTTTCATCCTGAATCGTTTTTTGACAGCCCCGAGGGCCGGTAAGGGCTCCCAAAGGCCGAAAATAGCAAAAAACATACCGTCATGATTTGTTCCTTGCCCGAGGGGGTCTGGGATTACGCCGCATAGATTTATACACGCTTGCCCTGCGGTAGTAGCGGGTGACAGACACGCTAGACAAAAACGGGAGGGGAAGGATTGAGCAGGGACCGATCTTCCCTGTGCCCCTATAGGCCGACCGCCGACCACGACGTGTACCCAGAACCACACAGCAACCCCAGAGCAAAACAATGTTCTAAGACTATAAGCGCAGCGTCTTAAAGCAAGACTCGATCAATCATAGAATTCCGAATAACGTTAAGTACAAACCACTGGCTGTTACTCGTTTTTCTTGGTGGGCTTCGAGGCAGGCCACGACGTTTCGTCATTGCTTGAACGGCGGGGCGGGAGGGAATATGAGCAGCCAAGAAAGCACGATCAGCCCGCCCTGGCGGCTCGTGGGACCTGGCAGCTCGCGGGATCTGGCACCATACACAGATTACACCACCAGATTGCGCATCGAGAGTGCCAGAGACAACTGTGTGGGTCCCAGGCTGGTTACCATGTTTCTCTTCGAACACACCCTTGCGTCCACTAAGTACCCCGTGTCTGCAGAAGTCACAGAAGAGACCGCTTTCGAGGGCGCGCTACTATAACGCCGACGACAGCAAAGTCCGTTCACGTGGCTGCGATGACGCGGTGGTCACGCGAGGGCACTCAAAACTTCCGCCGACCTAGGGCTTTTTCCTTTTGACGGCAGCTGACAGCACGCACTGGTAGGACTCGGTGTACATCTTCTGCCCACGCGGTAGGTGGTAGTCGCAATCCACATTCTGCTGCGACACAAACTCGTAGCCCAACGCCTTCCACATAGTCATCACCTCGTCCCAGTTGAGCTTCATGCGCGCCTCCTTCCGCCAATTAAGGGGCCCCACATTGACCCAGACACCGCCCTCGGCCAGCAAGTTGTCCATCACGTGGAACAGTTCGCAGGGGTCGGCAGTGGTGTCTATGAAAAAACATGTCAGGATGGCATCGAACTTGCGATGCCCTGGTCGGGAGAATGCGAAGTGTGGCAGAAAGGGGGCAATAAGCAGGCAGGGCAAGTGGCGCGCACGAAACCGTTTCTAAAGCTGCCACCCTGCGTCCGACAGTGCTGGAAAAATGAATACTCCCTTCCCCCCTACACGCGAATGGTACCCCCGTTGCAGTCCGCCCGGCCTGAGCCGCCAGCGCTGTACATCTTCACGAAATCTCCAGGAACTATGGAGAAGGCTGGCTGCGACGCGGCGCGGCCAGCCAGGAGGTCCTGTGGCGCCTGCGCGGGCACCTTCACCTCGAGGTACTGCTGGTCGTGCGCCCAGTTCTCCGAGAACACGTGCGCCAGCGGATAAATGGGGAGGTCCTGGCACGTCGGCCTGTTCAGAATGTAGTCGGCGACCTCACGAGCGGAGAACATGTCAAGGTTAATGCCCTTGCGGCTCTGGATACCAAGGCGCAGACCCGTGGATACGTGATCCATGGATACTTCTCATTCGGGGCATCCGCGCAAGGCCGTCCTGTATCCTTCCTTCCTTCCTTCCTTCCTAGCGCCACAGTGGGCAGGTCTCCAAGGGCGATCAGATGGCGCCTAGGCCACGACGGCAACGGCGTCTACTCTGGCAACCGCCCACTCTTGCAAGCGACAACCAAAGGGGCGGCCGCACAGACCCCTCGCGCCCTCCGACCACGGAGCACACACACACACACGGTTGCCCACAGAACGCGGCGGCCCGCAGTATCCCTAACGATGCCTTGAACATTCAAGAACAATGCAAAAGCGGAGCCTGACAACCAGTACGCCACGGGGTCGCGGCCGATGAGCCCGGACCGCGAGGCCGTGGATACATGGATACGGACCGTTGCTTCGCGTGTCGCGGCGGCGGCCCCTGCGGCAAGCCATGCCATGTGAAGGCTGATCGCACGTCGCCTCGAGGCTGCGTTCGAGGCGGACCACGAGTCGCACCAGAGGTCTGTAGACGCTCGGGGTGCTGATAGCGTTTCGTGCCGAAGCGCTGTAGGCCAGAACCGCCGGCGCGGCACGCTCAGAGAACGCTCCTGACCGTGTGCGGGTGCTTACACCAAAAGATGCCGATACAACTGCTCCCTGGACCTCTTCTGGGTTGCGCTCTGATCTGAATTTCGAGGCGAATCCAGCTGTGGCGACGAGGGCCTCCCAGGAGCCCCAAGAAGCGAAAACGAGGAAAGGATAGCGGTGTCGGTCCATGTTCCTCCTCTGAGCATGTTCCCCACCCACGACGACTGTCAGGAACAGGCGCGAGGCGTCATTCGCCTCGACGCGGAACCCCTCCGCCGCCATCTGCAGCGCCAGCCGCCCCAGCCCTGCCCCCGGCAGCAGCACCTCGCCGCCCCCTGGCAGCAGCTCCTTCAGCTTCGCCACGGCGGGCCCGTACGTGGTGGTGCCCACGTGCTCACACAGCGAGCTCCAGTCCTGAGCAACGCCGAAACTACGTCGTGAAAGAATCACGGCGGAGCTCGTTTGCCGATTCTCGGCCTCTGGGGGCCCTCGCCGGGCTCCGGGACCGTCGCACATCGACTCGGAAGGAAGAACCGGTCCTGGTCACATGTCTGGGGCCCTGAGGCTCTGACGTAACCGTAGCTCCACAACGGGCGGCTCCGCCTCGTTTCGGGCCCCCGGGCCCCACCACAGGTCGATCCCGAGGTGGGAAAACCTTCGGCAGGGCGCGGGGGCCCAGGGCTCCAGCGTCGTGCTTTCCTGCGATGTCGCACGTCTGCTTCGCAACGTCGGGTCTCAGGGTATTCCCCCCGCACACCCACTGGCATGGCCTCGGCCCCACAGGCCGACTTAGCCCCTCGGGTGGGCATGTACTGGGATGCATCGAGACATAATACTAATACTAGATTGTCCTCCTCGGAGGCGCGCGTCTATCCTGAACGTGTGGCATGCCAATCCCGCAGCAGGTCATCTCCCAAGCGGTGTGGCCAGGAAGCGCCCGCCACGACGCACGTACTAGAAGACTTCTCGCTGCGCGCGTCGCCCCTGTCCTTCCTCCTCCTCCTCCTCCTCGTCCTCCTCCTCCTCCTCCTCCTCCTCCTCCTCCTCCTCCTCCTCGCCCTCCCCCTCCCCCTCCCCCTCCCCCTCCCCCGGCCACGCGCCAGGCTCCGCGAGCGGCCAGCGTGTCGCTGCGCTCCGCGGTGGCAGGAGGCTCGGACAAAGCAGGGGCGCCGACGCTTGGGGACTCGGGCGCGGTCAGCGCCTGGCGCCGAAGCGTGGGGCGGCAAGGGCCAGCGGCGCGACACGCTCAGCAGACGCTCCTGACCGTATGCTGTTCCCATCGGGTCTCGCGGGACCCATCCCCACCTGGGGTGTGGGCTGGTGTTGCAGGCGGCCGGGGGGTCTGAACTGGATGGGTCCGGAGACACTCAGTCGAGAAGGGATATCGTGAATCCGGTCAAAATCTGTCCCCAGACCCCTTCCTGGGGTCCACATGGAGCAGCTTTTCACCCTGGGACTGTTTTTGCCGGTCCTGAAGCACGACGATGGCCCCTGGAGGCACAAGCACACAAAAACTTGTCGAACCCGGTACCTCGAACCTCGCCCCCCTTCCTGCTGGCCCGAACCACTGCTGGGCCACCTCACAGCCCCAGCCGGCTCCAAGGCTGGTGGGGCATGGCCCAGTGGGGATATGGGCATCGGTGGCAGGGCTGAACCTAAACGGTGCTTTTCGTTTTCGTTTTTTTTCGGTGTCCCTCGTTCTGTCTCGAATCCACCTCTACCGCAAAACGAAGTCGAAACGAAAACGGCCCACGAAATCGCCCAAACCCCGTTTGGGTTCAGCCCTGATCGGTGGGGCGCTGCTCGAGGGTCCCGCAGCAGGTGCAGGAACACGGACGCCATCGAGCCGTACGAGCTGGAGGGCAACGTCCCCGCCCCGGGGTCGAGGGGCTTCATCGCGCACACGGGCCTCTGGGGCACGTCGTCCTCCCCCGGCAGCGAGCAGAGGTCCGGGATGTCCTCTATGACGGCCTCCACGAACTTCCTGTTGGCGTCTCGGGCCCTCCGCACGGCCTGGGAGGGCGCCAACATACAGTCATTGTGCTACCGGGAGGAGCGCCGGGTAGGAAACGAGGTTTTTCTGTTGGGCCACGGCGAGCCTCGGCCACGAGCAGGGTCCTCGACCCAGATCCGAGGAGCGGTCCGAAAACCAGAGCCCCTTCTGAGCCCGACGAGGCTATTGCCCGCTCGTCGGGAGAGGTAAGGTAGAAACATGAAGTAGCAACGCATATGAAGTTGATTGAGTTCGGGCCCGCCAAGAGAATAACAAAAAACAGCAACAAGTGACACTTATTGAAATAAGATGGCGCGTGAATTCGATTGGAATCTGGATATCCAGGAATCCGCCACCGTGCCTCTGGGCACGGTGTTGGCGTGTCCTCAGGTCCTTCGCCAAATACCTGGAGTGCCGAATCCCTGGGGCGCACCAGTCCCGAAGAGTCTTTGAGGGGCCTGGCCCCCCAGAGGCCTCCAAACTGCCTCCACGAGGCCCCCGAGAGGCCCCCAACGAAGTCTCAACGAACATCCAGTAAGAGTCATAGCCACAACCCTAGAAGAAGAAATCATGTAATCAGCATAAGTTCGTGGCGTTCCGCGAGGATTTCTTGGATCTGGGCTGGGCCCCCTCCCTGGCGCGCGGAGCGCGCCAGGGGCGGCGCCGAAGGTGCCGCCCGGGTGTTTTAGCGCGGATCCCAGAAATCCGCGCGCATGTTTCAGCCGTTTTTCTTCGTCGGAACCCAGGCACGGTGGCGGGATAGTCTGAAGGCCGTCAGATACCTGCTTTCAACGACCGGCGTGTTTGCAAGCGTCCTGGCTGTGCTCACGCATGCCGACCCTTGCTAGGCTTAGTTAGGTCGGGCATGTCCTCCTACAGGCGGATCTTGGACGAAAAAACACTTGCTCGAAAATACACAAAATTGTCGCCCCCAGACTATCTTTATTCCTCCGGTAGAGGGACACGCCCGACTTAATTAGCCAATCCGTGGCCCAGGGCCAGGAGACTGGCCTGGCCGAGCCCCAGCGTGCGCCCGACGGGTTCCTGGGCCTACGACGTGGGCCCTGGCCGCCCTGCCTTACGGTGTGTATCGCTCAACCTGGAACGATCTCCTGCCTCTTACCCAGGCCCCCCATCGAGTCACGAAAACTTTGTGCGCCAGCGGCTAGGCAGGGCAACTGCGCTGGCGCAGGGCTACCTAAACGGAGGTACCGTTGTAGCGAAGTGTGCCACCATGCAGGAGGGGAGGGAAAGCAGAGAGAGCGGCCGAAGAGGGGCGGGAGGGGAGCGACCCGCTCAGGGGGGACGGGTCACGCCCCGAGCGTGTGGCGCGGCCGGCCCCGCCGGCGGGCCCGCGGCGGCTGCTGCACCAGGGGGCCGGCGGCGGCGGGGCGCAATGCGGCTGCCGGGTCGAGTCAGGAAGACATCACGACGGACAATGTTTCTCAAACTTCCGCCTCCGGGGGCCCTGAAATACCGAGCCTCGGGACCGTCAAGAAACGGCTCGGGTTGAAACAACGGTCCCGCGGGGAACGGATCGATCCCAAAGGCACCCGCGGGGAAACACGGCACCGGAGGCGCCGCCGGGGGAGCCCAGGCGGGGATGCAAGAAATCCGCGCGGAGCGCCAAAAGTTTGTGTTCATGTGGTGTCTTCTTCCTCTTCTTCTTCTTCTTCTTCTTCTAGAGGAGGCCTTCTACTCCTCTTCCCCCCCTCGCTCGCTGCCGATCCCGAGGACTTCGCGCCGCGTGCTGTTCTCCGCGGGTGCGCGGGCCCGACGCGCCTGAGGAATCCGCGCGGAGCTCAGAAAGTGTGCGTTTATGCGGTTCGGCGGTGCGCACGAGGGCGTGGAGGGAGGGGGGAGGGCTTCTTAGAAGGGGGCTGCTTCTCAGAAGGCGCCGGCCCTGCATCTATAGACAAGGCCCGCGCCTTCAAAGAAGCAGGGGTGCTTCTAAGAAGCCCTCCCACCTCCCCCCACCCCCCTCTGCGCGTGGCTGATCCTTGTGCCAGGGAGGGGGGCCCAGCGCCGATCTGAGAAATCCGCGCGGAGCTCAGAAAGTGTGTGTGTGTGTGTGTGTGTGTTTACGTTGTGTCTGCACGCACCTCCGCACGCACGCACACCCGCTGTCTTAGCTCCTAAATCTGCACGCACATTAGCAACACGTTCCGCCACGTCCACGCTGGGTTTGTCTAAGACCAGATCCTGGCAAGCGTGTCGCGTGTAAATGCCCGTCGGCTTCCGGAGCCTCTGGCGCGACCTGACCTTGCTACAACTTGTCCCACCTGTGCCCTATGTGGCCCCCCCTCGTGGGCATGCAAGCCTGACCTGACCTGCTGTTGATTATTCGTCGACTTAGTTGAGCAGGGACCGACCGTCCCGGCATTCCTATAGGCCTACCACGACATGTTCTCTGAACCGAAGTGTGTTCTGATGACAACACCAATGTTCGTCGAGCATGAAGCCGATGTGTTAAAGCAAGACGGCATCAACCAGATATGTTGTAATAACATATTCCGTGCGAACCACAAAAGGTTCTTAGAACTTTCTTTGGTGGGCCTATGGGCAAGCCAGGGCGCTTCGCCACTGCTCGATTTGGGACACCCCCAGGATCGGAGGCGCGCAAGCATGGATTACCGATCCATGTATTTGGCGCGCGCTTGCCGAATGCGGCGGCCGGTGCCGCCTCGCTCGGCGGCGGAAATCTGCGATTCCCATGGAAACGGGACCCGTCGCTAATTCAGGGCTGAACCTAAATGGTGTTTTTCGTTTTCGTTTAGTTTTCGTTGTCCCTCGCTTCTGTCCCGAATCCGCCTTCACCGCAACACGAAACCGAAACGAAAACGGCCCACGAAAACACCAAAAACACCGTTTAGGTCCAGCCCTGCGCTAATCTACGCCCCCTATCCTTCCTGGTATCCTTTTCCTGGCAGGCGTGTGCGGCCACAAACACTGGGGGGGGCAAAGTGGGCCCTCTCCAACCGCCGATCTACGAATCTCAGAAAGAAGATCAAAACATAAAGATTGGCATCCAAACTTTCTGCGATTGGTTAGGCACAGTGATCCACGTTTGCGCTCGCCTGACAGGAGGCGCGAAGACAGTCCATCGCGCTCCGCGCGTCGCGGCCTGGGCCTGATCGGCCGCCCTGCTCTCCGAGGCGCCGTGCGGGCGTGCGGGGGGCGAGGGCGCGACGCTGCTCGCGCGTCGCACCTCGCGGGGCGCGAGCCGAGGATCCGATCCTCGAGGGCGCTCCCCTCGAAGTTGAGGTCTGACTTCGAGGTGCAGCCGCGACTGCCCTCGGCGCCGCGGGCCTCCCGAACGAGGGATCCCCCCCAGGCCCCACCCGATCTGAAGACCCCTCCCAGATGGCCGGCACCAAGCCTGCCAAGTGTTTCGAGCTGCATCTTGATATGGGGGACCTTGTCCGCCCCATCGCGTCACCAATTGCGCCGAATCCGCGTCGAACCCGCGTCGATCCGCATGGGATCCGCGTCGGATCCAAGAGGAGTCCCTGCCGAAGCCACGTCGGACCCGCGGCGGGTGCGAGGACCAGGCCGCAGTCCGTTGGACAGACACGGCCCCCCGAAGATGCCATGCAACACAGCCCGCGGCCACGAGCCCCCTCCCCCCCCCTCTTAAGGCTCCGAGAGCAAGCCAGAAGAGAACCCCGACGTCGCGAACTTGCTCGCAGCGTGGACTCCTGCCGGGTGCTCACCAACGGGGAGGCAGCAAGCGCGTGCGGCGAACACGCGCGCACCTCTCGTGCACCCTCTCGGGCCCGCGGCGGCAGCTCGGGGGCCGCAGGGCAGCTCTTCTGCGCTCTTCGCTCCCCCGGCGTTTACAGACCCCTGCCGCCGCGAGCTACTGACCCCCGCCGCCGCGAGCTTGCTCACGGCGTCGCTGAAACGCCCCGCCGCCGCGGGTCTCCGCGCGCTCCGCCAGTGCGCGCCCAGAGCCCCACCCCCCTGGCTGGACGCCGGATCAGGGGAACCAGAAGCGGCGGAAGCATAGATGGTTGGAGGTCCGCGAGACATGGGCACAAGTGGCATAATGGCATTGGCAAGATTGGCGATGCTTGATTCTGAACTCTTTTGCTCCCCGACAGGCGCCAGAAACCGACGCCGTCACGGGTCCACGGCGTCGCCGCCGCCGCCGTCGAGATGACGCGCGAGGGCGCTCCCTTACGGCCGGGCACTTTCGGATAGCGTGCCGCTGCGGCGGCCCTGGCGACACGCGGTGCCGTGCGAGCGGCTGGCGTGTCGCTCCGCTTCGCGGGGCGGGCGGCTCGGGACGGGCGTCGAGACACTGACGCCCGGGAACCGCGAAGTGGACAGCACATCGCGCCGAAGCGCGGTGGGCCAGAGCCGGCGGCGCGACACGCTCGGCGAAAATCCCCGACCGCAGACGCCAGAAACCGACGTCGTCGTCACGGGTCGTCGCCGTCGCAGCCGCCGTCGGGACAATGCTCGAGGGCTACTCCGTCGAAGGTGGAGGAACAAGAAACTGCAGGAGCATCCACTGTCGGAGCTCCGTGCGGATGTTTTGGACATGCGCCAAATCCCCCTCCCCGGCGGCGGAGCGAGCGCGACATGGGCGGCGCCGGAGGCGCGGCCGAGGGGACAACTCCGAAACTTGGGGGTTTTATGGTCATGCCACTTTTCTCTGCCCCGATAGACGCCAGAAGCCGACGTCGCCGTCACGTTTCGTCGCCGCCGCCGCCGCCGTTGATATGACGCTCGAGTAGGTGGCGACATCCAAACCCTGCTCCCACCAACCATCGACCCTCCTGAATCGATGGGAGGCGATGGGCGAGGCTCGGATTTCACCGCGTGGTCGGGCGAAGAGGCCCCATCCGCTCAGAGTCAATCCATGGGACGCCTCCCGGGGTCTATCTGGGGTGCAGATCTTCACCCCAGATCCGCTTTTCACGGTCCCGTTTGAACTTTTGGCGCTCTGCGCGGATTGCTTGGATCTGCGTTGGGCCCCATTCCCTGGCGCGCGGAGCGCGCCAGGGGCGGAGCCGGAGGCGCCGCCAGGGGGGCCCAGCGCGGATCCAAGAAATCCGCGCGGAGGGCCAAAAGCTTATGTTTATGTCGTTTTGTCTTCCTCGACCGAAGGCGGCCCCCGGAGGCCGAAACTTGCAAAACACCTGTCCTCCGATGTGTTGTTCTCGCCCTCATTCTCGGAGGCGACAGGGCTCGGACTCAAGGAAAAGGAGGAGGCGGAAGAGGAGGAAAAGGCGGAGGAGGAGGAGGAGGAGGAGGAGGAGGAGGAGGAGGAGGAGGAGGAGGAGGAGGAGGAGGAGGAGGAGGAGGAGGAGAGGGAGGAGGAGGAGGAGGAGGAGGAGGAGGAGGAGGAGGAGGAAGAGGAGGAGGAGGAGGAGGAGGAGGAGGAGGAGGGAGGAGGAGGACTCCGCCGCCGAGCTACGCTCCAGCTTCGAGGTGGCGCCCCGCGGTGGGCCTCCGCGCGCTTCGACAACGCGCCCACGCCGAGCAGGGCCTTCTCCGCGGCGCTGGGGCGGAGCAGGCCGAGGGCGTCCTCCTCGACGGCCTTCTCGTACCGATTTAGCACCTCGGCTGCCGGGTTCGGCGGGGAGGCCAACTCCTCCTCCTCCTCCTCTATCTCCCCATTCTCCTCCTCCTTCCTTCCTCCCTTCCTTCCGTCCTTCCTTCTTCCGTCCTTCCTTCCTGCCCCTTTCCTTCCATCCTTCCTTCCTCTTCCTCCTTCCTCCCTTACTTCCGCCGGCTCCTCCGACTCCTCCTCAATCTGTGCCTTCTCAGCCGATGGGAATGCCCACGAGGATGGGAGCGCCCATGAGCCCCACCCGACGTGACGGGGCGATCCCTACCCTCGATGGCATCAGCCATACAATAACTACAGTCTTCCCTCTCCTCCTCCTACTCCTCCTCCTTTTCATCCTCCTCACCCCTCTGCTCCCGTCTCCCCATCCTCCCTCGCCTCCTCCCTCTCCTCCTGCTCCTCCACTTCTTCTCTCCCTCCGCTCCTTCCTCGGTCTCATCCTCATCCACGTCCTCCCCCTCCTCCTCCTCCTCCTCCTCCTCCTCCTCCTCCTCTTCCTCCTTTTCCTCCTCCTCCTCTTCCGTAGCCATTTTGGGATTTTGCTTTGGGCGGGCTGAGCCCGCATTCGCAATCACGGATACCGCTAATCCGCGACAGTGCCAGGGTGCTTGCGCCCGACAATCATTCACCTGGTCTGCCCCAGGTTGGAACCCATCCTCCAGCGAGGTCGGGCCGGTGAGCTCTGTTAAGCATTTCCCATGGGCGGGAAACAGAATCAGGACAAGAGCAATGTGCGGGGCTTCACCTGGTGCCAGAGCTGCCAGAACTAGGCTTGGAACTGGCGCCTCAAGCGCCAGAACGGCAAGTGCGGCGTCTCCACTGCTCGCGCAAACATCCCACCCACCCACCCGCACCTTGATTTGCACAATCTCTTAAGACCGTGACGGTGGGTACCAAATGGCACTTGGCAACGCCAGCGACGCCGACGACGACAGCGACAACGACGACGACGACGACGCCGCCGACAACGACTACGACGACACCGACGACGTCTCCAACGACTTCGACGACGCCGACAACGACGACGACGACGACGACGACGACGACGACACCGACGACGACGACGACGCCGACGACGACGACGAAGACAACGACGACGACGATGACGACGCCGACGACGACGACAACGACGACACCGACGACGACGACGACGCCGACGACAACGTCAACGACGACGACGACGACGACGACGGCGGCGACGCCGACGTCGACTACGACGAGAAGACGACGACGACGCTGACGCCGACGCCGACGACGAAGACGACGACGAAGTCGCCAACGAAGACGACGACGAGGGAGGAGGGAGGACGACGACGACGACAACGACGACAACGACGACAACGACGAGGGAAGAGGGAGGACGGCGACGACGCGAACAACGAAGAAGGAGGAAGGACGGCGACGCCGACGACGACAACGACGAGGGAGGAGGGAAGACGACGCCGACGACGACAACGACGACGCCGACGACGACGACGGCGACGAAATAGGAGGGACGACGACGAGACGCCGACGACGGACGACGACGACGACGAGGGAGGAGGAGGAAGGACGGCCATGGCGACAACGACGACGGAAACGACCACGACGCCAAAGAGGACGACGACGACGAACACGAGGAAAGACAGAGGACGACGTAGGCGACGACGACGACGACGACGACGACGTAGGCGAGAGCAAAGCCGAACGGATATTTCGCAAGTGCATGTCGCCTCGAACTTGTTTCGGTGACTTGTCGGGGCCAGTGTGGTGCATCGCAGGATCAGCACCCTGAGCGGGGCAATGGAATTCCCTCCAAGAACCCTCTGCTTTGAGATTGCCGAGAGCTTCTGTGCTCACCGCGATGCAAGCCCGACTGGGCCAGTGATGGCGACAGAGAACTTTTTCGACGGCAGCGGGAACAAGGACTTGATCTGGTAATCTTCCTCCGAGAAGTTGAGCTCACCCATGGAGATGTTGACGGCTTCACGCGCGGGCTCGAGACCGACGAGCTTTGTAGAGACAACGATGACTTGAGTAGGGTCCACTTCGCGATCGAAGCCTGGCGGGGCGGCCGGTCTGGCAGGGAGCTTGCGATCCAACTCGACCTGTTGACGCACCTCACAAACCAATGTATGAAAATCAGCGAGTTGGGGCGCGTGGGCCTCGACAGCCTGCTCGGTGTCTCCGACGCGGTGGCTGAGAACATCATGTTGAACTTGGAACTCGCGCTTCAACGGATCCAACTGCGGGCGGAAAGCGGCCATGATCTGCTGATCGAAACCGGTATGCTGTTGAGAGAGCTATTTCAGGAGAGTGGCGAGCGTGGCGAGGATGGGGCTGTTGGTCTGCTGGACGGAGTGAGAGACAACCGAAGTGACGATGTAATTGAACTTTCCGCGGAGCTGGGTGAAGCGGGCGGCGATGTCAGCACGATAGACCGCACGAGTGAAGGCGGCTTGATCCTCTTCTTCATGCACACCAAGGGCCACGAAAGAACCAGCATCAACAGGAGCTGGACCGAGCTGCGCAGCTGCTGCCCACGGGTCGAATGGGGGAGCGCCTCTGGCAGACGTGGCATCAACATGCATTGGTGCTGGCTGAGTCGGCGTGTCGGGGAACGTCGCTGCCTCATCGAAGTCGTGGGCCAACTGCTCGAGCTGCTCATTTGTCAAGCCTCCTGCGGAGGCGGCTGGGTCCGCACCGCGGTGCGAAGCTGAGGAAGCAACAACAGGCGGGACATCCCTCCCCGACACACGGCCGCGCCCGCCAGCACGAGAGCGGCGCGAGCGGGAGGCCTCAGGTGGAGCACCCGCGCAATCACGAGGGTGATGGCGAGAGCGAGGGGCACGGCGAGCGCCACGACTACCCCCACTGCGTGATGCCGACCGCTGATGGCCAGCCGAGGCACCTGAGAAGGAGCCAGCACGATCCGTATCAGCATCAGCGCCAGGGTCTGCGAGATGATGGACTGCAGGGTGCGGGCGGTCGCATCCAACTGGTCCCATGGCGGCACAAAGAGAGGAATCGTCGTCGCTACTCCAGGGCAGCAGGCGTGCTGACGCCCCGACAGTATGAGGAGGAGGAAGCGCGGTAGCTGAGAAAGCACGGGGGCCTTGGGCCGTCCCCTCGGCTGCACGCAAGTTCGTCGCGCCAAGGTCGCACGTTGCGAACTTGAGCCAACATGGCTACGGAAAGGGAAGGAGGCGGAGGAGGAGGAGGGGGAGCAGGAAATAGGAGGAGGAGGAGAAGCAGGAGGAGGAGGAGGAGGAGCACGATGAGGATACTAATACAACGAAAGGAACAGGAGGGCGACAAAGAGGAGAGAGCAGGAGGGGGAGGAGCAGTTAGGAGGGCAGCGCGGAGGGCGGTGGGACATTCTGAAGTCAGCTGGGACTCCACTGCCGTGGAGGAAGGAGGCTCGGATGAGTGAAGGAGGCCGCTGGCACAGGAGAGGGGGAGGAAGAGAAGGAGTAGCAGGAGGAAGACAGGAATACCATTCGCCTCCCAACTCTTCCTCCTCCGCCTTTTCCTCCTCCCCCCAAAAAAAACCTTCGCGCTGTTCCTCCACCCGTCCTCCTTGCCGCCGCCCTGGAGGCACACCCACTCATCGTCCTCCGTCCCCTCATCTCTTCCTCAAGTCGTCCCCCTTCTCCTGCTACTCCTCGTCCTCCTACTTCATCATGCGAGGGCAGGGGTGGGGGGGGGCAGGAGGAAGAGGCGGAGGAGAAGGAGGAGCAGGAGTTAGGAGTCGAATGGCGAAAACATGGCGAGGAGACGGAGGGCGAGGAGTAAGAGGAAGGAGGAGGAGAGGGAGGAAAATTAAGATGCTAATGATGATGAGGAGGAAGAGGAGGAAGAGGAGGAGGAGGAGGAGGAGGAAGGAGCATGAAGAAACCAAGTATGTCAGCACCTCGCGCAGCTCGGTCCTGCTCATGCGCCACGACTCGCACTGCATGGGCGTAACCCCGCGCCCCGGCGGGCCGGGCGGCCTTGTCCCAGGGGGGGGGAGCAGCAGAAAAACGGAGGAATCACGAGGAGGAAGAGGAGGAGGAGGACCAGTGCAAACCCAAGACGCACCAACTATGTTACAGCACACTCTCCCTCCAACAAATGTCGTCGCCGTCGTCGCCGTCGCCGTCGCCGTCGTCGTCGTCGCTCTCGTTGTCGTCGTCGTAGCCGCCGCCGCCGTCGTCGTCGTCGTCGTCGTGTTCGTCGTCGTCGTCGTCGCTCGTCCTTGTTGTCCTCGTCGACGCTCCTCGTCGATGCTCGCCGTTGTCGCCCGCCCGCTCGTCGTCGAGCTTGACGTCGTCGTCGCCGTCGGCGCCTGCCGCCGTCTCCGACGCTCGTCAACGCTCGTCGCCGTCGTCGTCGCCGTCGACGCTCGGTCTCGTCGCTCGGCTGCTCACCGTCTTTCCCCCCAGCGGGACCTCCGCCGAGGCAGGCAGCCCCAGCCGAGCAGGGCGCGCGGGACCAGCACCTGGGCGCCCGCGAGGCACAGCGCGGCGTGCCCCAGCGCGCGGCGCAGGGGTCCCATGCAGCCTGGCCGCTCGAGCCGACAGACGCTTCGGGGCACGGCCATCCTCGGGCCGGGCAGACCCCGCACACGATCGCGCCTGGGGGAGGGGAGGGGGAACACGACGCGCGATGTCTCTTTTGCCCAGCCTCGGCCTCTGCAAGGGCCTCGCCGGGCCCCGGGACCGTCAAGAGACGGCTCGCGAGAAGAACAACTGGTCTCAGTGGCGTGGGTCGGGCAGAAGCCTAGACCTCCCAGATGGCCTCCCAGATGGGGTATAGCGCAGAATCGCCGATGCATCGGCGATGCGGCTCGATGTGGAGCATTATTTTTCTCCACGCCGACGGCGCCAATGCATTGCCGACGTTGCCAATGCATAGCCGACGCATCGCCGATGCATCGGCGATGCGGCGCGATCCTCCGACCCCACCTACTCCGACCTCATCCAAGAGGCCTCCAAGAGCGCAGGTTCGAGGTTTCTGGGCGTGTTCGTCGGATATCGGCGGTATTCCAGCCATGGGATGCTTTCCAGTTGCTGCGCCATGGCTTGCGGGCCCAACGACGTCCCAGGAAGGAACGACTCGTTGGCCAGCATGGTGGTGGTCAATCTCGGGGGGGCAAACGCCAGGGGGGGCAGTGGCTCAGGACCTGGAGCCAGCAACACATCGCCGACGAGTGGACGATAGGCCCCCGACACCGAAGCCGTTCGTTCCCCGAGCAGGCTGGGGCAGCTTGGCTCTCGAGGCGAGAGACGTTTCGGGGAGCGGCCTGCCTCGGATCGGACAAGAAGGCCGGCTCGAGCTCGTCGGGCGTGCCCGCCGCGCCACAAACGCAAGCTTCTGGCGCTCCGCGCGGACTCCTTGGCTCCGCGCCGGGCTGGCTCGCGGAGCGCGCCCGAGGCGGCGCCGGAGGCGGCGCCCAGCGCGGATCCGAGAAAGCCGCGCGGAGCGCCCACTGAAGGCGCTTGCTCTTCTCCGAGGAGCCCTCCGGGCGTTCGCAGCCCCCTCGGGATGCCTCGCCGAGGCAGCTGCGCCCCGCCGAGAGCCGGCCGGGGGGGGCTGCCCGCGGCGACTCGCCGGCCGCCGGAGGCTCGGCCGCCAGAGGCCCCCGAGGCGGAAGGCCCGGAGGCCCGGCCGCAAGACGCCTCGGGGCGGCCTTCTTCGGGCCGGGCGGCGGTGCCGGGGAGCACCGAAGTGCTCCGGGCGTGCTCGTCGGTCCTCGGCGGCCTCCCAGCCCCTGCAGATGCTTCCCGGCGGCTGCGCCTCGCCGGGAGCGAGGCGGAGATGCCCGGGTCGTCCCGAGCGAGCCGTTCTGTTGACGGCCCGCGAGGGCCCCTGGGGGGCCGAGAGAGCCAACAACACAACAACACAGTAACAACAGCAGCGCCAGCAGCAACAACATCAACAACAGCAACAACAACATCAACAACAACAACACATCAAACAACAACCATAACAACGACAGCAACAACAACAACAACAACAACAACAGCAACAACAACAACACCACCAACAACAGCAGCAACACCAACAACACCAACAACACCACCACCACCAACAACAACAACAACAGCAACACCAGCAGCAACACCAACAACCACAACAGCAGCAGCAGCAACAACAACAACACCAACAACAACCACAGCAACCACAACGACAACGACAACGACAACAACAACAGCAACAACATCATCACCATCAACAACAACAGCAACACCAACCACAACATCAACAACACCATCACCAGCAGCAACAACAACAACAGCACCAATCATGTTAAGACTTTTCGCTCTTATCTGCTCGCGGGCCATTCAACACGTATATCCCAAACATTCGGTACCCGCCTTTTCGTCTCCGACCGTACCCCTTTGGGGTACATATCTTTCTTATCTGCAACGTATATTTCGCGCAGCCCCTAAGGCAGGGGAAGAAAGAACGGATGGAAGGAAGGGACAAGGTAGAGGGAGGAGGATGGAGCACAAGAGAGAGTAGCAGGAGGGGGGCTAGGAGCAGGAAGTACCTGGCAAAACCAGACGGGCTCATCGGGCGTGTAGACTCCAATGAGCGGGTTCGGGGAGGCGTGCTCAGCCGGTCAGGTCGAGCAGGCGGGGTGCTGAAGCGTGCGTCCTGCATGACTCGCGAGGAAATCTGGAGCGATAGCGCGATTCTCGAATAAATCGTAATGAAGTCCACAGCGAGAGCATGATTCCTGAGTGTCGAGGGCGCGGCGTCATAATGAATTGCGAGGAGGTCCCACGCGAGAGCGCGATTCCTGCTCATATTGTCACGACATGCCGCGCGAGAGCGCGATTTAGGAAGAAATTGTTAGGCAGTATCAGGCGGGATCTGCTGTTGTTACAAACCGGGGGCCGGCGGCACAGTTTGGTGACCCTTCACTTTCCCTCGTAGAAAAACAGGGTGCGAGTCCCAGGAGAAATTCTCGAGGTGAAAAATACAATTGTTACCAGAGGGGGGGGATCAGCATCAGTTATTCATTAGGATTGAGAGCTCATCGGCACCAACAACAACGGCAACAACAGCAGCAGCAATAAATCGACTTCGGGGCAATCTCAGCTCGTCTGAGGAACAACTCGCTGGTGTATACTCAGCTTCTACCCGTCGCTGGCGCGAGCCGCAGCACGAATCTCGCCACAGACGGTCCATGCAAGCAGGGCGCAGGCTCAGCCTGCATGTGTGAGAGAAAAAGACGTCTCGGACTGCCATGCTCAAGAGCGAGGGAACGCCTCCGCCCTGTTTTCTGTCAAGACTCTGTTGTCTGGGCCGCCTCCCCCGAAGCTTCCCCAAGGCTCCTCCCGAAGAGTGGCCGGCCAGAGGGCCCACCCCGCCAAGGCAGAGGTGCCCACGAAGGCGGGGCCGGAGGGCTACGGCGGGCCTGTCTCTCCTCGGCGGTCATGTCGGGGTCGTTGAAGGAGAGGCACCCTATCTTCTCCTCCTGCGGGGGGCATGGGGAGGCCACGACACGGGGGGGGAAGAGAGGGTTCACCGTGAAGCGGGCGCCGAGTCGCTTGAACTCGCTCTCAGAAGCCGTCGTGCACGCACTCCGGCCTACAACATAAACATAAACTGTCGGCGCTCCGCGAGGATTTCTTGGATCTGCGCTGGACACCCCTCCCTGGCGCGCGGAGCGCGCTAGGGGCAGCGCCGGAGGTGCCGCTAGAGTGCATGGGTCAGGCGCAGATCCAAGGAATCCGCGCGGAGCGTCGGAACTTAATATCTATGCTGTTTTTTCGTTCTTCGATCACAGAAGCCGTCGAGCACACACACACTTCAGCCTCGGTGCAGTGGCGGAGCCCTGGGGGGCTGTCTCGCCGGAGTGCTGTGTCTCCCGTGCCGCGCAACGAGAAGGGGGGATGGGCCCGGGGAGGGGGAGGATCTCGAGCCGGAGTCGGCGACTGCGGAGGCGCGCGCGGGGAAGCGGGCCGGCCTTGGGAGGCAGCGGCGGTCGGAGCAGCCAGGGCCTGCCGACAGGGGCCTCGAGCTCGAGGGGTCGAAGGGGCTGGCTGGGGGCTCGATCGTCCACGCCGCCCAGGGACGTGCCGGTTTGCAAAGTTCCCAGACCCCCTCGGGCCATGGAAAAATCGCGGCGGGAATGCTTCGGTATCTTCGGCCCCGGGGGGCCCTCGCCAGGACCGTCAAGAAACGACGCAGGGCAAAAAAACCTTCCCGGGGAATGGATCGAGACCTCTGGGGGTCGACGTTATGAAAGCGTCATGATGTCGGGGGTCTGAGTCGGTGACCTGTCGCCGATCTATCGGCGATGCATCGCCGATTCCAGCTCGATCTTTGCGCTGACGAGAAGGAAAGGGGGCGGAGGAATCAGTTCGGATGTAGTTTGATGTTGTCAGCTGCTGGCCCTGGGGTGCTCGTAGTGCGAGAACGGGGGAAGCACATCGGACCCAACGTCTCGACTGAAAACAAGCATTGGACCTGAGCAGCTTCAGAAGCAGACTCCCTGCGGGCTGGGCCCCGTGGGCGGAGGAGTGCTCAAGCCTGGGGACGGCCACGCGTGGCAGGATATCCAGTGGGAGAGGGGGGGGGGGGGAAGATCGGATCGGATCAACTCGGCCTTGCGCGTGCAACGCGGAGCAGTAAACATCGTGTGGTACTGTGTGCTCACCTCCTACCTGAGACAATCCGCCCAACTTGCGTGCGAGGTCATGGGTTGCACGCGCCGTGCAAGCCATGACCTCGCACGCAAGTTGGGCGGAGGGGGGCGGAGGGGAGGAGAGGTATCGAAGGTAGCTTGTTCTTGTCAGCTGAAGATGAGATGTGAGAGGGAGGGTTCCAGCAGCTCTCCGCGGGGGGTCCCAACGACTGCCGTTGCGGTGCCGTAAAAGCTTCCGGATAGCGTGCGCGTCTTCATGTGTCAGGCAAGATGCCTCTTGGGCGGCCATATCAGCATCCGTCGAAAATGATTTAGCA